AGAGAGAGAGAGAGAGAGAGAGAGGACTTGGCCCCAGACCTGGCGATCGGCCATGTAACTCGAACCGAGTGAAAGTAACTCGGTTCGAGTTGGGCGGGTCCAAAAATATAAAAACATTTTAAAAATCCCAAAAATATAAAATTATATTTAAAATAAAAAATTAAACACAACACATCTAAATGAGGTTAAAAAAAGTAATAGAAAAATAAATTTTGAAAAAATCAATTTGTGACTTGGGTTATTTTAGAAATAATCCAGAAAGAAGGGATAATGAAAAAATAAGCATTTATAGCTAATATATTTCACAATCTTTGTCAAAATAATAGAAAATATAGAAAAAAAAATTACAAATAAGTACTTTTTATTTTTAATAATTTTCTTGATAACTTTCTTAACATCCCGAACTTGATCATTAGAAAATAATAATAAAAAAATATTACAAATAAATTTATTCTTTTTTTTAATTTTTAATAACTTTTTTGAGAGCTTTCTAAACCTCGGAAACTTGAGCACCGAAATCAGGATACTCAGCCTAGTCAGCGTGGTGAGCACGAGTTACTCAGGTGTGTCCGGAATGGCTCGTCCAAGTAGTAGAACACTGAGTAACGAGAGAGTGACAGAGAGAGTAAGCAGTAGTTACCAAGCACATCTCCTGCCTTGAAGGTCTTTCCATCTGGCCAGTTAGCTACGTAGAAAGTCCAGCCTTGGCTGTCCCCCACCGTATAAGTGGTCGCCATGCTAAGCTCCAATACCCCAAACACCACAACCACCAAACCCACCAAGCTCATCGCACTCCTTCTTCCCTGTGCCATCTCCTCTGTCTCTCTCTCTCTAATGCAGAGGCTGTTTCTATAACGCAGAGAGGTGGGCAGAGCTTATTATAGATTGAGATCGAATGGAGGGCTCGTTTCTAGAAGCTGAGATGGCATCTTGATAAGAAGAAAGCCTTCCAAATTAGAAACGCATGCCTGGAATTGTAGAATTAGAGATTTCTTTTTAAACTATCGTGTCTCTCTGTTTATTTTGGTGGATTCACTAGCATGCGGAGTAACTAAATTACCCCGAAATCAGCATGCTCACCACTTTCATTCACTTTTGGTGTAGGTAATTTGCGATCGTGAGTAGTGATAGAGTCTTATCAACCATTATAGGAAAATTTATTAAAAGGCAGCGTGTGCCATATTAGTTTATGTTTAGAAAAATTATATATATATATATATATAACGTCTTCATTTCGTGTTTGAATTTTAATTTTTTTCTGCAAATCCAAATAACAAAAAATTTTAGGGTTTTGTTTTTCATATATAGAATAATCTAATAAAAATAAAAGTAAAATAATTTACAAAACAAAAATTAACCAAAATACCCCCAAAACTTTTTGGGGGTATTTTGGTCAATTTATTTAATGTAAATTTTTTTTTAATTTTTTTATTAGATTCATCTGTTTTTTAAAAACACACGTCTAAAATTTCAAGCTATTTAGATTTATAAAAATAAAATAAAATACAAATACGAAATGAAGTCATAACCGTTAGATCGGTCTAGATTCAATTTGAGTCGCTGGGCTCATTTTTGCCTATGAGTCCACTGGCTCACATGATCATTTCCATATAAGGTTTGTCTAGATTTAACAACCATTAAAAATATAAAAGTTAAAGTTAGAACGGGTTGTGATGGGTGTATATATAAAAAAGATGATTACTCTTATTTAAAAAATTATTTTAATAAGGGTAAATTTGAAATTTTAACAAAAGTACAATGGCATTTTAGAAGCTAGTGTCTTGGAATTTTATTTGTAGAGTACCATTGTATTTTGTAGAGTACTTTTATGAAGATGACAAAAGTTTACCCCTTGTCTTGTAGTAATATTTACGAAATTACCCTTACTTGATCAATATATCACAAAAAGTAAATTTTTTGATAAAATAGACTACAAAATTTGTAAATCCGCCATTCACAACTCTTTTTATCTTTAATCTTTTTAATTTAAAGGATGGTGAAGTTTAGATTATCCCATATATGTATATATGTATATATGTATATATATATAGGGAAAAGAATATATATATGTTCATATGAACTAGTGAGCCAATCCCATCTTTTCCCATATATATATATACATATATACATATATACATATATACATATACACTCCAAAGGATTACCATTAAATTTGACACAGATCTCTAGAAAAGTTATCACATAGTGTGGGACTTGATTTTTTTAGAGATTTATGTCAAATTTAATGGTGATCCTTTAGGGTCCTACACACATGAGTGTGGGAGGGTCTCATAGGATCATTACTTGCATATATA